AAAAAAAAAAAAAAAACCACTGCACGAACCGGAGGAACCAAAATGGTATCGGATTCGGAGCTGATCGAGCGGCTGCGAGAGTTCCTGAGCGCGTCGGACCTCAACACGACGACGACGGCCATCGTGCGCCGGCGGCTCGAGGAGGATTTCGGCATCGATTTGTCCGATAGAAAGGCGTTCATAAGAGAACAGGTCGATGCTTACATGCAAAGCCAATTCGAAAATGTTGCCGACAACGAAGATGAAATTAATCTCGAAGCAGACGAGAATGAAGGAGATGGAGAAGAGGAAGACGAGGTGGAGGAAGAGGAGGAGGATGAAGGAGCAAAAGATTCAACCGCCGGCCGCAAAGCAAAATCCTCTGCCAAGAAAACTAAGAAGCGGTCAGTCTCGTGGATTCATGCGCTTTTAATTTGTTTGTGATTAAGGGGGATGAATTTATTTGACTATCTGTTTTCAATTTTGGGTTTTTGAGATGAATTGTTTAATTCGTTGTGTGAATTGCGAATTTATGGTGGGCTGCAATTTATCCGACTTTAGTTACATGTGTATGCTTAGATTTGCAGTTTCAGTAGATTAGGTTCATGATGCGTCAATGGGGTTTTGTCTTTTCTGACCTTTTTGTGTTTGCAGAATCGAGTACTTCTTTTTGAACGTGTGTTTGAATATATCTGAAATTTAGCTTCTAATCATTCAATCTGACAATTGATGGGACACAATTGTAAAACTCTGATGCATTTGGTTTGCATGTGAGTGTCACTATTAATGCTGCAAGATTTGACCTTGTGGAGCCCTTCTACAAACCTGATCAAAACTACTTCTGCTAGCATTTGATTGAAGTAATTTGTAGGAGTTTTGTGGTTTGCCTCTGAAAATTAAATTTTGGTTTTGAATTTCTATCTGCTGGTTCATTCTCTATCTTCCATTGCCATTACCCTCGTATGGTTTGATAATGAATCTGCTTGTTGGTCTCGAATTTGGTTCATTCGCTGCTCTCGCTATATCAGCTGTAACCTTTCGCATGATTGTTAGTCATAGATGAAACCTCCATTAGTTTGTGAAGAGAAAGAGGAACTCCTTCGACTTCACTATTTAGTGTAGAAGATATAAGAAATCTAAAGTGTTAGTTGCAACACAAATCCCGAATAGAAAGGAAAATTTGTGGAAAATATGATTGGCCTGTGCAATCATTGAGTGTTCGACTTGAATGTAAAAAAAAAATAAAAAAAATAACACGAATTATGTTCTAAATATCAATTCATTCACTGAATTAGCCATACGAATTTTGAAAGAGCGAGTCACATTGCTGTATAGGTTTTCATAGTTATATTTAACATAGTTATTTGTACATTTTCGAACCCACCACATTCACATGTTTTCTTTTCTTCAGCGGGGTCAGCTGAGACATGACTGAAGTCTTCAACGTTATCCCTGCCCTGGACGGAATACATACACAATTATTTTCCCAATGCCTTTCCGCTGCTGACTCTTGTATTTTTTCAGGCAGAGTTCTAATTGTCGCAGCCGGATTTCACCTAAAAATGGAATTTGGTCATACAAGACACTCGAAACTTTAGAATGGCGTGCATGTCACTCAAAGTTCATAACCTTGCATATGGAAACTGTTTGTTGACGGATATTATTCCAGAGAGTTGTAGAAGCTATCATCATATTACCATCCAGAAAATTAACGCCATCACTCTAAATTTGAATATTCTAGCAAAAATACTATATTTGGTTCAGCAATTCAGTAAAAATAATCATTTTTTTCCCTGGCAAACATTTTAGGTTGTTGGGTATGGTAATTACAAGATATTTACAATGCCAAGTCTTACTTTCATTCCAATTGGTGTTGTACGAATTCTGCAATTTATGATTCCAAGATCTATATCATTCATCTTTTTTAATTTTGTGTTAACGGGGCAGCTGACTTCACCTTGCATATTTGGGCCACTTCTGCATTTAGTATACTAATGCTTCCTTTATATTTCATTTTGGTAGAGCTAGAAAGGAGGTCAAGAAAAGAGGTGGTGGAGGGTTTACCAAATTATGCAGCCTTTCTCCTGAGCTTCAGAAATTTACCGGAGTACCTGAACTGGCACGGACAGAGGTACGGAAAATTATACTGATGCATTCTCTACGATTGTGTTTGGAGTAAAATTAAATATAATCTACCTGCCTGCTGTTTTTATAACCAGGTTGTGAAGCAAGTATGGAGTTATATTAAAGAGAATAATTTGCAAGATCCATCCAATAGAAAAAATATCAATTGCGATGAAACATTGCGCGAGCTTTTTGCTGTAGATACCATAGATATGTTCCAAATGAACAAGGCCCTTGCAAAGCACATATGGCCCTTGGATTCTGATGGTGGTATATTTCAGGCCATTTAGTGCCTCAGGCTTTTTTTGACTTCTTCAGTTGTGCTGCTATTAGTCTTTCTTATATGTGACAAGTGTGCTCGATATTAATTTATTTGTTTGGAGTATTTTCTTCATGAATGCTTTTATCTGACAAGAAAATGCTTCCATGCTTTGAAAGCATTTTTTTCTAGAATCATTTTTTCATCTGCTTATGGCTGCTCGTCTTTAGTGAATCATGGCATCATAACAAAGTAATGGGGTCTTAAAATGTTGATGGTTTAGAATAAGCCATAGCAATATAATTATGCCGAACTTCCACCTTTAATATTTTACTTCAAATTTATATTGTGGAATAGTTGAAACCGAGACATAAGAGTTGTACTCGAGCACTAATGGCGCACATTCTCAGATGTTACCTGATGCTATCTTGCCTATACGTGTGATGGAATTATTAACAAGGACAGAAGGATGTTAGACTCATGTTAGATGACGGGCTTTATAACTGAATGAAATTGCTAATATCTGGGTGATATTATTATTGTTCTTCTGAAACTGATCACTGTTGCTTTAACTTACTTTTCATAGGCAAAATTTTAAATCCAATGTGTGGAAGGCCATGATACCATCTTACTTCTCATGACATATTAGAGCCCAAATTGTTGATCTTTCTGTTTGTTATTATTTGGTATGGTTTCTGGTCTCTTACTGAAACCGTCAACATAAAGTATCCTTGTTGAGAAGGTTTTTTTGAGTATATATTACATCATTACCTTCCTATGTAATTCATTAGCTTTTTTACATTAAACTTAATTAAGTTATTATTTATTGGTTTTTGACATTAAGCATCTTCAACCAATTCTGCACCGAAAGCAAAACAACAGAAGCAAGAGAAAGAGAAAGATGAAGGTAGGAACTCCTATGATAAGCTCTGTATTCTTCTTTGGTTGAAAGCTTCTTTTCACTCGAAGGATTACATTTTCCTTCTACCTTCCCTTTGTTCATATGTCTTCATAAATTGTTTCTGAATAGAAGTTCTCTCCACATTTGAGTCTACTCCCAGTGGTTATGGAAGCTTTTTACATTTAAAAAACGAAAGAGGATTTAATATTGGTGTTGATGTGATGCTTTTGTGCTGTAACCTATTATGAAATATTGGGGGGTGAAAAAAATAACAGAGTAAGGGTATTTGAAGAAATGGAAGGAGATTGGCTTGTTGCATGGTTCCATTCGTCTCATGTGTTGAACAGTGTTATTAAATAAAGTAGAAATGACCTTATGCCATTATTCACAAATCGTGTTTTTTTTTTTTCCTTAAATGCTTCCGAATTCTATAATGATTTTTCTAAACCATTCTTTTGTGTTTTGTTTAATACATAAAAATATAATTCTGTCAGGGTCAGATGAAGACGAGCCGAAGAAAAAAGAAAAGCGACCTAGGGGAAATCCGGGCTTGCTTGCTCCTCTTAAGCTTTCTGATGCTTTGGTGAAGTTCCTTGGCTCAGGGGAAAGTGAACTATCTCGTCCTGATGTTGTTAAGAGGATTTGGGATTATATAAAGCAACACAGCTTACAGGTTTGTGTTTACAGCAGAATCCTATTGTTGTATCATACTTTTAATTTGTTTACTCTGGTTTTCATCTTGTTCTTGTAACTGCACCTAGTTACTTTTAGGAACCACTAATGCATGCCCATGATTTATATATTCACTTCAAAAATACTCTTTCTCGGGGATCTTCCTGATTTTTTAGAAATGAATGAAGCATCATCACATTTCTAAATAACCAGAGTTCGAGCTGAATCCAGTTTGTTTTACTTGGAAGGGTTTCATGGAAGGAAAAAAATGTTTTATCTGGTCTACCACAGTTAAGTAGAAGCTCACTAAACTAAAATTGAAACTGAAAAAAAAAAAAAAANNNNAAAAAAAAAAAAAAAAAAAACTCCTAAATTTCTGTATTCATGTGCCACTTTCTTGAAATCTCGACCTTTGTTCATATATTTTTTAATCTGTTGAAGGACCCAGAGGACAAAAGACAAATAATATGCGACGAGAAGCTGAAAGAACTTTTTAACGTCGACACCTTCAATGGATTTTCAGTTACAAAACACCTCAAACCTCATCTCATAAAGATGGAACAGTGAGTTTGTGCCGGAACAATGAAGTCTCGTGTGTCCAAATAGCACCAGGAAGTTTTATGTTTTCGCGTCTCCAAATAGAACCGGGAAGTTTTTTGTTTATCTTGAGAGAAGACGATACTTAGTCTCTCTTTCTGCCTCTCACACTCTCTCTGTCCTTTTCTTATATATGTATCTGTTGTTCAAAGCGATGGACTTTCTGAGAGAAAAAGTAATCTTAATTTCCAGCCGACACTGTTAACATGTCATCTTGTAAGAACTTCTCTTGGTGCTAACTGGCCATGCTAATGACGAATGTGAATACAATGTAAATCTCTCTCCTCTCTCTTTCTCTCTCTGCATACGCTATTTGGTCAATTTTTTACATTTTCTACTAACATTCTGATGCGTCAGTACGTGACATGATGCTATGATTTTATTTGTTTAAATTTTATACGGTTATTTTAAGGGGAGGCACAAACAGAAAAAAATGGGGAGGCACAAATAGAAAAAAAGAGGTTGCTGAGGGCAAAGGAATTTTTCACTCGTCTTTTGGCAAAGTAAAATGCTCGAAAATTGACAGATGCTTCATGGAAGATATGAAACTAGCTTGGAGCATCTCACAGCCTGTCTGCATACGAATACCACAGTAATTTTTCGACCATGAATAAGTTGCAATGCAAGTTGTGTTGTGTTCCCTTTGACTGTTTGATCTTTTCATATGAAGCAGATGCAAAGTGGAAAACATGTAGTTTTCTCGCTGAAGCGAGAAAGGCAGACAAATGATTCATAGCAACTGGGATCATAGGCCACTGCTTTGCTATGTCGAGAACTGTGTGTGCTGGAAAATGTTTCCAGAATCTTCTTTTTTCATAGGATCTCTCATTATTATTATTATTATTATTATTATTATTATTATTATTATTATTATTATTATTATTATTATTATTATTATTATTATTTTGGACAAAATCGTGCTTTTAAACTTGTATACATATGTAAGAATCGAGAATGATTTATTCTTTGGCAAATGGATAAACAAACATTTAGCCGGGTCAATTTACAGGATCCGAACCACACGGCCCGGTGTCGGCCACCGCCGTGGCTGTCCGGCAAGACCGGCTGGGGAAGACACAGATAGACAGATAGGGTGTACGAAAGACGATGAAATAGATTCGAATGGCTTATTATTAGGATTCTACCTATTTCTATTGGCCTGTGATTGTAAAACTACGTAGGAGTAAAATAAAACAACTTTTACATTGGTAAATAATGTAGAATTATAAAGACAAATAAAACAATATTGTCGGAATTGGCTCACGGAATTCTCATGGTACACTAATATTGGAATCTTTATAGCCGTGAAGAATAATCACTTGTACCAGAGTTATCAACTCATTCTGCTATATTTCCCATTTTGCCCCTTCTTTTGTTTTTTATTTACACCTCAGCTTCACATCTTCTCC